TAATTCTGCAAAAAACCATTTTATTGGACAGCCATCCTTGTTTTCTTCCCAGTGACTGCGTGATCTTCCAAATTCAGTCTTTTAGCAGTTGTGTTGAAAGCTCGGAGATGAAAACCACCCATTAACAACATAATTCCACAGACCGACTTAACGGAGAATTTCAGCCGGTTGTATAACGAGGGAGCATCCTGCAGGCCTCAGCCTCACAGGGCGGCAGAGGCCACCGGGACAGGCGTGTGGGCGTGCCCGTGGGCCGCTGCTGTCTTCCGCAGGGTGGAGCTGTCTCAGCAAGGGTGACTGGATCCATGGCGGCAGTCATTGGTTGAATGGAGACACGTGACCACGACAGCCCTTCAGCTGGGGCTGGCTCACAGTTTCGGAGGTTAGTCTGTGACCGTCGTGGTGGGAAGCATGGCGGCGTCAGGCGGCGTGGTAGCGGAGATTTCCACCTCTCATCGCAGGCAGCAGGAAGGTGCAGGAAAACGGGCCTGGCCTGAGCTTCTGAAACCCCAAAGCCCATCCCCAGGGGCACCCCCACCCAGACAAGGCCACACCCGCTCCGACAAAGGCCACACCCCCTAATAGCGCCCCTTGTAGTGCTGAGTGATGACTCGGCTTGGGGCTGTTGGTCTTCACCACATGGCTCCCTTTCTCTTCCTGGAACCGAAAGCCGACAGGTCACTGCTTACACAACACTCAGACGGGCCTTCCCCGAGTCCACGCGCTCCGGTGGGCCTTCCCCCGAGGCGTCTCTTATTCATGCGACGTCCATCCTCATTAGCTTTGTCTCTAGATAAATGTGCAGCGCACACACTGTCCGCTGGGCGCCCGCGCTCCCTCACTGAAGACCGTGGTCTTGAGAAGCCAGTTCCCAGGCCTCGGGGCACAGGGCACACGGGAGGCCACAGAGTGGCCTTCAGAAGGAGGAGAGACTTGTGAGACAACCAGGCTGATAGGGCGCACACGCAAAAGCTCCACCACACTCTGGGATGTCGAGATTCGCCGCTCAGGGTGCACATCCAGAGTGCCCGCATATGAAGCACCACACTTCCAGCTCTCCTTGGAAAAGACACGATGGCGCGGCTGCTGGGCCTCACAGATACCCATTCCTTTAAAGAAGGTGTGTGTGTGTGTGTGTGTGGTGTGTGTGCGTGTGTGTGTGTGGTGTGTGTGTGTGTGTGTGTATGTGTGGTGTGTGTGTGTGTGTGTGTGGTGTGTGTGGTGTGTGTGTGTGTGTGGTATGTGTGTGTGTGGTGTGTGTGGTGTGTGTGTGCATGTGCTCACGCGTGCGTGTGGCTGGGGATGGAACCCAGAGCCTCTCGAGTGACAGGCAAATTCTCTATCACTTAGCTCCACCCCTGGCTTTCTCTTTGCTCTTTATTTTGAGACACAGCCATGCTGATTGCCTTGCACTCACAGCCCTGCGCCTCCGCCTCCCAGGTAGCTTGGGTTTCACACTTGTGCCAGCGGCCGTTTCCACACTTGGGACATCTTCAGCACACCGAGGAAGCCCACTGGGGAATCACCTTGCTCCTTTCCTTCCTCCAACATCATCAGTACTTTCTGAGCTTTAAAAAAACCATGAGTGAATTTGCTCACTATTTGGGGTACACCACACGTGGTGTGTGCATGTGGGATGGATCTCTGTCCGCCACGTGGGCCCCAGACCCGGAATTCTCGTCGTCGGTTGGTGGAAGGCAGCTGTGCTCCCTGGAGCAGCTCGCCGGCCTCCTGCCTGGGTTTTCACTGGAGCAAGAGCAACGAGGCTGAACGTGTGAGGCGTGGGGTGGTTTGGAGCACTCTGTCACACCGTCCTGCACGCTCCTGCGCATGCTCAGAAGGCCTTGAGGATGTCATCGTGTGGGTCTTCCTTTCCCCATCAGGTGGCCTCGGAGACTGGGGTTGGCGGATCCTGAGACACTTGCTTTGCTGACTAATCCATTGTACAGACACTTACCGAGTCCAGACACTATGGTAAGGGACAGCAATGAAGTGAAACAGTCAAACCTCCCTGCCCTATGGGATGGACACCCCAGGGGACCGGACAGAACAAGCAGCTAGCCTGTGTGCGGTGTCGCTCTAGAGATGATGAGGAAGGAAGCAGGAGACAGGGTGGGCCAGCGGGTTAGGCCGGGCTGAAGGGCCGGAAGGTCCAGCCTTGTCCAGTGGCATCCAGGAGGCGATGGGGAATCTGGGGCAGACGCTGCAGCCCGGAGCAGAAGAAAGGCGCAGCAAATCTCCTTCACATTTGATAATAAAAATTCGCAGAACCTGGAGCCCAGGGGAAATCAGTGAGGCCGCAGCTCTCTCTGCCTGGCTTCTGCTGTGCTTACCTCCAGGACAGGCAATGATTTAAAGGTGCCGGGGGTAGGTGGGTGGGTGGGTATCGAATGCACCTAGGGATGAGGTCGAGAGACTAAGAATCTTTCCTTTTGGTACATGGCAGGCCTGGCCTGGTCAGCGATCTATCGCTCCCCAGAGGAGACAGCCCTGGGGGGAAGAGGGTCTGTGAGGGCACTTTTAGAAAGATCTAAGAAAGGAAAGAAGATTCACGCTTCTGTGGTGGCTGCATCCTACACAGCAGAGCCCTGAACGGAACAAAACAGGGGAAGCGGGCAGAACCGCCACGGCGTCTCCCGTTTCCTGCCCGAGATGCACGCGGCCTTCTGCTGCAGCCACCATGGCTCCTCCACCCAAGGGTCTGAGTCCTTCAACCGGGAGAAAGTCCAACACCGCAAGGCCCTTCTGTGCAGCCTCACCCCCGTGCTGGCACCCTTGGCGCCTGTCTTTGAACTCGGATACCTCCTCGGCTCTTGGCTAGAGCCTGATGACATGTCTGTAGAAACCTAAGGGGAAATGCCCCCAAATGCAACTGATTTCTGTTCTGGGGCCAAGCACTGACTTTGTTGGTCTTATGGACACGGAAGCCACACCCCTTGCCGCCTGCTTCCTGTGTATGTCTCTGTTTTCTTAGCTGGCTATACCTCCTGCAGGTTCTTCATCAATGAGGGAGTTAAACAGCATCACCGAAATGGTGTCTTACATTTCCAAGAGTCATGTGTGGCTGTATCTTTGGGAACGTAATGCCCATATGCCTAGTGAGTCAAAAGCCACGAATTCACCAGTTCTTCATTCGCTGGCACTGTTGGCTTTGTGGTCAGTTCAACACACATTTGCACACTGGGTGTGATCTCCTCCTACCCCACCCCACCCCACCCCACGATTGGTGTGATCTCCTACCCCACCCCACGATTGGCGGTGCGCTAGAAACACCAGACCTACTGATATTTCTGAATGAGTGTTCACTACCATTCCCTGCTCTGTGAAGGAAGCGAGTTCAAGGAGAAAGGATTTATTCTGGCTCTTGGTTTAAAGGGACACAGTCTGTGTTGGTGAGAAAAGGATGGTGGTGGGAACATCAAGCCACAGAGAGGTGGGTCCTGGTGCCAGCTTGCTCTCTTTGATTTGGCCTGGGATCCCAGCCCAGGGGCGATGCCGCCTGTGTTTAGGGGCTCTTCCCTCTGCAGTTAATCTTCTCTGAAAGTGACCTCACAGACACACCCACAGGTGTGTCTCCCAGGTGATTCCAAATTCAGTCGAGTCACAGATGAAGACAGATCCTCACAAATGGGCACCAGATACCTAATGTAGGAGGCAGTCTGTAAGAGCAAACTGTTGGGACTGGGTGAGGGGGAACCCCAGGAGGGGCCAGGGCATTGTGTTATCTCATGAGATCTTGGTTTTACACTGAATTCTAAGTTCTGCTCAGGTCAGAGATTGCTCTGACCGTGTGTCCCTGAGGCCACTGGGAGGACTCCCTAAGAGTCCCTGTTCTACCACTGAGGAAATACTGAGGACCAGTGGGCCAAGGTGGGTGGGGTGGGCCTGCTGAGACATGACATAGACTGGACAATGTTGCTTTCAATGTGTCCCTTTGTGCAACCCTGTCCTGGAGGCCTTGGGCGGGAGGTCTGGGAAGCTGCCCACAGCGGATGAGCGTGGTGTCAGGCGTCTCCCGGCATGCCCTCTGACTGACTGGGTGTCAGGCGTCTCTCAGCATGCCCTCTGACTGACTGCAGCGTGACAGGGCTGAGGGAAGGCTGTCATAGGCTGTCGTGTGTCTGTTTCCTCTAGATTAAACATTCCTTGATCAGGGAGGCTCGCACGACACGAGGGGCCCCTCCCAGGCGCATGGAAGCGGTGAAGGGTGTCTGGGGACTCTCCGGTGGACCTGCCCTCGTGTTGTGTGGGAGCTCTGGGATGCAGCTCTCATGAGCAGCCTCTCCTGTGTTGGGCTGGGCTTTTTATGGTGATGCCTGATTCGCCAGCATTGCTGTAAGTAACGCTGATAAAGCACCAGGCTAGGTTTGGCTGGACTAATTTCCTCAGTCTACCCGTGTCCCCTCTGCCTGGGGCAGAGTACAGATTCCCCAGGACACGGAGCACAGGCTCTGTGCTACACCAGTGGACGGCCAAGAGGGCACGGAGAATGGCCGGGGAGCATGCTCGGCCGTGAGCTTTGATCTGCTTCACCTCAGTGCGCAGCTTTCACGATCCGCCCCGTGATCCCCTGCGCTCTGAGTGCGCCGGGTAACAGGCTTCTGCCCACAGAGGTTTGGCAGCCTTCAGGTCCAGGGCTCACCAGCTGGGGCCCCAGGGTCAGCAGCCGCCACCTCGCAGGGCTTGACTTGTCTGTGGAGGACAGGATGTGGGGCCTCCCCCCGCCCTGCAGCTTATTATAGGCCAAGAAAGCCCTAGGGAAAGCCTGGGGTGGGCCAGCCTCTCAGGAGAGATCAGGGATCAGTATAGCAGGGCTGGGCCCTGGAGCTGCCGCAAGGACACTTCCTCAAGCCGCCTTGACTTGGTGGAAAGGCCGGCTCACGCCCTGCAGTCATGTCACAGAAACTGTTTCTGGAACCGTGTACTGTGAGGATTCGCCTGCGGCCACCGTACCGGCCCCCTCCTGCGCCATTCTGGGGACCCTCGGAGGACACAGTGAATGAGGGGCAGAAGGAAATCTCTTTAATAGCGTTGCAACATTAGGCCTGGGAGTCACTGCAGGAGCACAGTGCCCCGGCCGCGAGGCTGGGCTGAGGTGTATGGCTGTGTTGCACACTCTGAACAGACAGGTTTCACACTGGGAACTGAATAAATAGACACTGGAGCAGCAGAGACGGGGGCGTGATCGTTTCCTCATCCCGCCTCCTCGAAGCGGGGCTGAGGGGCTGGCACGCTACGACGGGTATTCGTACTCCTCAGCGCTGCGCCGGCCGAAATCCATCCAACCCATGTAGTCCCGGTCGCTTATCCTGTGGCTGGGGTCCAGGCTCTGCAGGTTCTTAAGAACGGACACACGGCCAGAAGGAGCTGCAGGCAGAGACAGGAAGGAGACGAGAGCCTTAGATCCGGGAATCTGGTGTGTGTGTGTGTGTGTGTGTCTGTACACACGCGCACAGCCACGCACGCTTTCGAGTGGTGTGCACACGAGTATATACGTATGCACGTGGACATCTGGGTGTGCCTCAGCCTCTTTCCCAGCTTATTGAGACGCTCGCTGGCTGGGCTCAGCCTGGAGTGTGAGGCGCACGGTAAAAGAGTCTGCCTCAAACCAGGTGGAAGGCAAGGAGCAGCTAACACCTCAGGCTGTCCTCTGAGCGCCACATGTGCACTGTGCCATTACACACACACACACACACACACACACACACGCACGCACGCACACACACTCGCACGCACACGCATGCACCCATGCACAGAAAGAAGGAAAAAAAGATTTTTTTTTCTTTTATAAGAACCAGGACCAGTCAGATGGCCCAGGGCATAAAGATGCTCATCGCTGAGCCGACGAGGTGAGTTTGAGTCCCTGGACCACACAGTGGAAGAACAGAGCAGACTCCTGTGGACTATCCCTGAGCTCCGAGGGACCACCATGGCACACCACCACCAATAAATGTCAAATAACAATGGAATCAAGTTCTCTTTCTATGTGAATACTGTTGCCAAGCAGGGGAGGTGCACACCTGTGATCCCAGCACTTGGGAGGCAGAGGCAGGTGGATCTCTGCGAGTTTGGGGCCAGCCTGGTCTACAGAGTGAGTCCAGGACAGCCAGGGCTACACAGAGAAATCCTGTCTCATAAAACAAAAGAAATATTGTTTACATTGCAAATTATTAATTTGAAGTAACAACCTGAAGAGTACACCTTAGGTGTGGGCGAGCAAACTTTAACCATGGCTGCTGCTTCCTGGGCTCGGGAAGAGAGGGAAGAGGAGCTTCCTGCTAAGAGCTCTGCTGGAAAAACCAGTGTCACATGCTGGTTCTCGGCAATAATTCAGCAACCAGGTTTTCTGTTACTATAACTGTCTGGGATATTCCTAAACTTGAGCCAAGGGCTCTAGAGTGAAAAGTCTAGAACTCTTCAGGAGGGTTAACTGGTGGCCACCCCAGAGGGCGGGTTCTACATGAGTGACAGTCGGTCAGAAGGAATGGGGAGGGCATCCCATGTTTCCAGGTTTCATCACGATCTCCTGTCTGTCTGTCTGTCTATCTATCTATCTATCATCTATCCATCCATCATCTATCCACCCATCCATCATCTTTCTATCATCATCTATCCATCATCTATCTATTCATCCATCATCTATCTGCCCATCCATCATCCATCTATCTATCCATCCATCATCTATCTAGCTAATCTCCCCCTCCCTCTTTCTCTCTGTTGAATTAGCAGAAAAATAACCTAGAAAGGGGTGGCTGTGGGGTGAGTTCCCAAACAAGAAGAAAAATAAGAAACCTCTTGATTCCCTCTGAAGTCCCCTGGTCTCATCTTTATGTGTAACTCTAAGAGACTCAACCAAGCTGTCCAGTTTGCCCTCAGTGGTCAAGCCAGAGGCAGGCAGGGCAAGGTGGGTCAGTGAGCCGGGCAGAAAGGAGCCCATCATCCACATTCTAATCCAGTTCCCGAGGTTAACACACCCCAGCCAGAGGTCACCATGAGCTGCTGCGGATAAAGTCAGAGATGAAAGCTGTCCTGAGAGCTGCTCTGGGAACCCCAGAGCCAGGAGGGGATCTGGGTCGCTCCGCCCTCATCTCCGACATCCCGCAGGCCAGGCGAGAGGCCCCTGCACAGGGAAGAACCACTCAAGGGCAGGGCTCTCTGCTGCCGACCTCGGGATTCGTGGGGAAAGCCCTTCAATGCTGAGAAGCCCCGCGCGCACAGCACAGCGCTGGAGACTTTTCCAACCTCTACGGATAGATGTGGCCAAGAGAGCGCAGGCTGCTGCTGGCCCTCCGACCCTTCCCTTCTGCTCTGTGCTCAAATGCCAACTGCTTTTCGCAGATCCCAGCACAGATCCACTTTCTGCCCGAGGGTTCCACGGACCAGTGTCTGGGTGGCCCCAAGTCCCCATGCGCATACGGCAGAGGGCATAGGCAGATCTGAGGACCCTCTTACCAGTACCCAATTATTTTTTAATGTTATCTTAAAATGCCGTTAGACTTCGGCCCAGACACGGTGCCAAAATCAGTTCAGAGAAAGGCCTGCTAGCCGGCTGCCCTTCGCCACGGGGTTGGCCACCTCCGCTCCGGGGTGCTGCGGACACCGAGCCCACCGCGCTGCGCGGCGCAGCAAGGCCGGGAGCCGCGGCAGCAGAGCCGGGGCGGCGTCCTTACCTTTGCGGACCTGCTGGATGTACCGCGCCAGCAGGGCGCCCAGGCGTGCCCGCGGCTCGCCGTCCGTCCTGGGCACGGCCCTCAGCTGCCTTCGGGGCGCCTCCTCCGCCCGCCGCCCCACAGGCTCCGCGGCTGCTGCTCGGGCTACCGGCTGCGCCAGGGCGCCCGCGGCCAGGATTGCCATCAGCACGCACAGACGCACGCTGCACTTCATGGCTGTGGGGAGCAAAGAAGGCGAGCGCGGTGAGCCAGAGCCTGACCTCCGCGGGCTCCAGCCCGACGTCCCGCACCAGAGCCGAGGCCGAGCGCAGCGCGGGGCTGCAGCTGCGCCAGGCTGGCTCACGCCTAGCCAGGGAGTCCTCGCTGCGCCCCGGGACGCTTGTGCCCGGCTTCTGTGTTATCCACACCGAGGGTTTAGGATCCCGCAGAGACCCGAATTTTCTGCCCAGTTCAGAGGCAGTGCCTCCTCCTGCTTTCCTGAAGTTCGAGGACGGCTTTGCAGCTTCTCTCTCTTCTAACCAGAAAAAGCAAAGTCAAGTGTGTGTGTGTGTGTGTGTGTGTGTGTGTGTGTAGATAGTCCAGGAGAGAAACGCGGGAGGTGGCATTTATCCGCTGCGCTGATAAACGGGAAGACAATGGGAAGCGCAGTGTAGAGTCTGGGCGCGTCAAGGGAAGCTGCATTGATCGAGATTCCTTGGCGTTAAATGGGAGCGAACAAAAAGCCTCCGTGCAAAACAAACCCCAGAAATCTGTGCCCGGTGCTCAGTGGCCAAAGCCCCACCACATTTGAGAGCGGAGCAGATGAGACCTGTCTCAAAGCGCTGTATTCTGTCCCGCAGCCCTGCGTTTGTGTGTGAGAGAGAGTGTGTGTGTTTGCAGCATTTAGACAATGGGCATAAGTCTTAAAAACCTCCTGGTATTTTCTTTTAAATGACTGCAAAGTCTGCGAACAGCAGGGGAAGCCTGGGAAAGCAACCCCAGCTTTGGCACGCACAGAGAGCATAACGACAAGACCCCGTGGTACCCACCGAGACGGTCTCAGGTCCAGCGCTGGTGCCTCCGACTCCGGGAAACCTTTCCAGCCGCCAAGGGAGGGAAGGCACAGAAAGCAGATCGGTCAAGGCTGCAGCCCGCGGGCGGCCCTTCCCGCTCCTGCTGCGGGGACACCTGCTTACCTGTGGATGCGGACGCTCCGGGTTTCCACGGCGCAGGCTGCCGTCCAGCCAAGTTCAGGGCGGGAGGGCGGCCGGCTCTTAAATAGCCCCGCCCGGCGCAGAGCCAGTCATCTGTTTACCCAGCGCTGACGCAGGGGAGGACACGTGCTCCGAAGGCGACAGCCGAGACCCCGAGAAGGGAGCCGGCCCAGCGACCGAGCACAGCCCGGGCGGGGCGCTTTCCAGTGGGGACCGCCTTATCTAAAGAGCTTCCTCTCCGCCTGCCCGCCGCCTCCCCAGGAGTCGCCTCAGGCCGGGTGTCCCCTCCTGGGTGGGGAGCAGGAGTGTTCTCTGGACCAGAGACTCTGGCCACCTTCAGCGAGTTTTGGGGATCAAATGGTCCTTCAAGGAGTCTGGGGGACCCTCACAGCAAGTGTAATTCTGGCGTGCTCTCTGGGGCCAATTTCAGACCTGAGTGGGTCCCCACGCGTGAGCGAGAGGGGTCGGCTCTCAGTTTCTCCGAAGCCGACCACAGCTGGCCTCCTAGGTTCTTCTTTTTTTTTTTTTTTTTTACAGACTTCTAAGATTTGCGTGCACTTCCTGCCTTTGCGGGGAAGAAGCCTTTGGAGAAGGTTTCTTCCCAAGATGAATTCCCAATGCCCACATCTGCTGGTGCTACTGGTCGCCAAGTGGCGCCAGAGGGTGCCTCAACCTCCCGCTCCCCCCAGCTCTGGCTGGCTGAGCCCTCACCGGGGCTCGCACCTTCCCAGGGAGCTCAGATTGCCCTTTTCAGTCGGATCCCTCTAGAGTTCTGCGGGGAGATGAGGACCTTGGTTGGGATAAAGATTCTCACCAGGTGTCTGAGAAAGCACCAGACTGATTTCCAAAGCGGTTGTACAAGTCTACATTCCCACCAGCAGTGGAGGAGGGTTCCCTTTTCTCCACAACCTCTCCAGCATGTGTTGTCACTCGAGTTTTTGATCTTAGCCATTCTGATGGGTGTAAGGTGAAATCTCAGAGTCGTTTTGATTTGCATTTCCCTGATGACTGAGGACATTGAACATTTAAGTGTTTCTCTGCCATTCTATATTCCTCTACATAGAATTCTCTGTTTCGCTCTGTACCCCATTTTTAAATTGGATTATTTGATTTGCTGCTGTTTAACTTCTGGAGTTCTTTCTTAATATATTCTGGATATTAGCCCTCTGTTAGGTATAGGGTTGGTGAAGATCCTTTCCCAATCCATAGGCTGTCGTTTTGTTCTGACGACAGTGTCCTTTGCTTTACAGAAGCTTTTCAGTTTTTATTGATTGTTGATCTTAGAGCCTGTGCTGTTGGTGTTCTGTTCAGCAAGTTTTCTCCTGTGCCAATGAGTTCAAAGCTCTTCCCCACTTTTTCTTCTAACAGGTTTAGTGTGTCTGGTTTTATATTGAGGTCTTTAATCCACTTGGACTTTAGTTTTGTGCAGTGTGATAAATATGGATCTGTTTGCATTTTTCTACATGTAGACATCCAGCTAGACCAGCACCATTTGTTGAAGATACTGTCTTTTTTTTTCATTGTATGATTTCTGCTTCTTTGTCAAAAATCAAGTATTTGTAGGTGTGTGGGTTTATTTTTGGGTCTTCTATTCAACTCCATTGATCCGTCATTCTGTTTCTATGCCAGTACCATGCAGTTTTATTACTATTGCTCTGAAGTACAGCTTGAGATCAAGGATGGAGAAACCTCCAGATGATCTGTTGTTCAGGATTGTTTTAGCTATTCTGAGTTTTTTGTTTTTCCATATGAAATTGAGAATTGTTCTTTCAAGGTCTGTAAAGAATTGTGTTGGTATTTTGAAAGCACTCCTAGGCATATATCCCAAATATGCTCAACTATACAACAAGGACATTTGCTCAACCATGTTCATAGCAGCTTTATTTGTAATAGCCAGAATCTGGAAATAACCCAAATGTCCTTCAATGGAGGAATGGATACAGAAATTGTGGTATATTTACATAATGGAATACTACACAGTAATTAAAAAACAAGGAAATCATGAAATTTGCAGGCAAATGGTGGGATCTAGAAAAGATCATCCTGAGTGAGGTGACCCAGAAGCAGAAAGACACACATGGTATATACTCATTTATAAGTGGATATTAGACATATAATATAGGATGGACATACTAAAATCTGTGTACCTAAAGAAGCTAAGCAAGAAGGAGGCCCCTGGGTAAGGTGATCAATCCTCACTCAGAAAGGCAAACAGGATGGACATTAGAAGAGGGAGAAAACAGGGAACAGGACAGGAGCCTACCACAGAGGGCCTCTGAAAGACTCTACCCAGCAGGGTATTGAAGCAGATGCTGAGACCCATAGCCAAATTTTGGGCAGAGTACAGGGAATCTTATGAAAGAAAGGGGAGATAGAAAGACCTGGAGGGAACAGGAGCTCCACAAGGAGAGAGAGAAAAAAAATAATATGGGCACAGGGGTCTTCTCTGAGACTGATACTCCAACCAAGGACCATGCATGGAGATAACCTAGAACCCCTGCACAGATGTAGCCTATGGCAGCTCAGCATCCAAGTGGGTTCCCCAGTAATAGGAACAGGGACTGTCTCTGACATGAACTCAGTATCTGGTTCTTTAATCACCTCCCCCTGATGGGGGAGCAGCCTTATGAGGCCACAGAGGAAAACAATGCAGCCAGTGGTGATGAGACCTGATAGACTAGGGTCAGATGGAAGGGGAGGAGGACCTCCCCAATCAGTGGACTTGGAGAAAAGCATGGGAGGGGATAAGGGTGGGAGCTACAGCTGGGATACAAACTGGATAAACTGTAATTTATAAAAAAAATAAGTTAATTAAGAAAAAAGATCCTTACCTAACCAGAATGAAGAGGGGCACCCCTGCGGTAGCATGAGCATCCGTGTGGCCCCAGGCCCTGCAGGGCCCAGTGATCATCTACACTCAGGGTGAGAGACAGCTGAGTCCCTCTACCCCGTTTTAAAGAACACCTGCTAAGGATCCAGCAAGCTGCACAGCAGCCCCTCGATACCCCTGTAACCTGGGGTTACCAGCCAGCCATGCCAACCTTGCTCTTGACCCCTCCCTCCTATCGTCACTGTGTGCTTAAGAGAAAGGAGGTTGGCCTTCCACCGGTGTGTGGGCTGGGCTGTGTCCTGTCTGCTGTGAGAAGGTGATAAATGTGTTTGGATGTGAGATGCCCTCCTCAGGCTCTCGTGTTGGAACCCCTGGTGCCTGCTGCTTCCAGAGGGTGTGCACAGGCTCACGGGAGGAGGCAGGTCGCTCCAGCAGGCCTGGGGGGTCGTGGCCCCACTGCTGTCTCTGCTTGCTGCCCCCCGAGATGTGAGCGGGTGGGGAGGTCCAGCCCTACTCTACGGCTGTCCCAGAGCTGCCTGCTGCCTCCTCCACCATCATGGACTGCGCGCCTTTAAACCACAAGCCAAAATACATCCTCCCACAAGTTGCTCTCAGCAGGACGGAAAGGCCCTTTCTGTGGTCTGTCCTGCCCCACCAACTCCTCAGTGGGGGCCCAGAACTCCTCGACCTCCCCTGTCCCCTGTGGAGGAATGACACCATCATGTCCTGATGTTACACTTGAGAGGAGGCAAAGGAAAGAAGAAATCTGTAACTGTTGACTGGTTTGGGAATCTAGAAATTTCTGTCTGATTTTGGTGATTAAGATGTTAAATGACAAACTGGAGAGGGGGCTTGGCAGTTAAGGGCGCTGGCTGCTCTTGTGGAGGACCCAGGCTTGGTCCCCAGCACCCACGTGGCAGCTCACAGCCACCTGTCACCCCAGTTCCAGGGGACCTGACACCTTCCTCTGACTCCTCAGGCACTGCATGAATATCAGGCAAAAAACCCTACACACAAAATAAAACAAATGGTTCTAAAAATACTGTCCTGTTAAATGATGTCTCGTCCAGGCTTAGGGAGACATTTCAAAGTGTTGGGAAATCCATGATGTTTTCAACAAACAACTTTTGCAGGCGCGATAAGCGACCCAGCAACACAGGTCCATTTGACAGTGTCCAAAGCTTATTGGGTTATCTAGAGACAAGCAGGAGCCGATTTATTATTCATTGGATTCCTGCTTGTCACAGCTCATCTGTGTTTTATGGAGGTCAAGAGGCTGTGCTCTGCACCCAGGAAGGCCCTGCCTTGATGGCTTCTGTTTCAGGTCGTGGGGATTTTTTCTCCTGAACACACTTTAGGAATACCATTTGTTGTGTGGTTTTCCTGGGACATAAGTGTCTGTTGATTACAAGGGTCTTCCAACTTCTGTCTTTGAGAAAGAAAGAACCCTGTTGAGAGACAGAGACAGGCTAAGAAGCTTATTTAATGAAACTGAGCAAAGTGTTTTCTCAACAAGAGATTGCACTGGGCTGTCCCAGGAGTGGTTACACCACAGTGACTTCTTCACTGTGGGCTTTGAAGATGTTTTCAGTGAATACGACGTGGGTCGCATATGTGAGGAAGAAAATGACCCCTCCTCTCCTAAATCATGGTAAACAAGATCTCTTTTGTAGGATATTTCTTCTCATGATTCTCTAGAAAAATCCCCCAGGGGTGTGGTGCAAACGGCAATGTGAATGATTAAATGAGGGCGGCCGCCTTCGCTTAGCACGCACTTGTGGCAAGGGGGCAGCCGGTCCTCACTTTCTGATGGAGCACGGTCACAACCTGTCGGCAGCTTCAAGGTGTTTACCAAGGGATGCTCTGGTCTCAGGAGATGCTGCTGCTGAGCACAGCTGCCATTTCCCCTCCCTGGCTACTCGCCTCCAGACCGCTACCTGGTGAAAATCATAGTCATCCCAAATAAAGTGTCCATGACCAGCTGGGTGTGCAGACAGCTACGAGGGGACACAGGCACGGTCGTGCCGAGGCCTGCGGGGCATCCAAGGGACAGGGGCGGAACAGCCTCGCCTGCCCATCACTGAGTGCAGTGCTTTCAGATTTTACTCTGATTTCCCACCACTGTGCTCAATGTATGGAATCTGCTCAATAGATTTTTGTCAAATGGAATATTCTCTTACACAAATGTCTCACCAATGTGTCCCAATCTAGGGACAGTAATCTAGTTGACTATGTTGGCTGTTTTCTAGCTGTCAACCTGACACAACCTGGAGTCACATGGGAAGAGAGGCTTAGCTGAAGAATTACCTAG